TCACTTCAAAGCATCTATGGACAGTCCTTTGCTTTTGCACACAAGAGTAAGCTTAGGAATGCTTTGCTTCCTTCTAGGTCAGGCTGCCTGCAGATATAGACCCTTTCCTTTGCTGCCTTATTGCCAGTTACATTAAATACAGCATATGACCAGAGTTTATTAATGCTGTACTGTAGTCAACATCCGTGCAAGCATATACAGTGGCCCCCAAGCAGGAAAAGGTTCCACTGAGTAAATAGGTAGCAGTGATTCCATTACTGATAGTGAAAGTTGTCCTACACAATAACCCTCCTCTCTCTTGTCTCCCTCACACCAGCTACGAAGCTTCTCATATACACACATGCACATACGCACACACACACACACACACACACACACACACACACGCACACACATGCACATCCATACACCCTGGAATAATATTCAACCATAAAAAGGATGAAATCTTGCCATTTGCAACAACATGGTTCTAGCTAGAGAGTATTATTTTAAGTGAAATAAGTCTGTCAGAAAAGACAAATACCATATAATTTCATACATATATAGAATTTAAGAAACAAAATGAACAAAAGGGAAAAATAAGAGATAGAGAAATCGAGAAGCAGACTCTTTTTTAAATTTTATTTATTTAAATTCATGTTAGTTAATATACCGTGTAGTTTTGGTTTCAGGAGTAGAACCCAGTGATTCATCACTTCCATATAACACCAAGTACTCATCCCAGCAAGTGCCCTCCTTAATGACCATCACCCATTTAGCCCAAACCCCATCCACCTACCCTTCATCAGCCTTGGGTTTGTTCTCTGTACTTAATAGTCTCTTATGGTTACTGATCACAAATGCATGGGATAGCCCCTCACCACAGACTCCAGCATGCAGCTCCTCGTATGGGCACCCAACATCATGACCAGGCCATTCCGTGACTGTTTGGTTCTGGGATTACACACACACATGAACTCTCTGAGCCTGTGGATGCCCTGAGCCATGCAGCCCTTCCACAGATTCTGGAGCCTCAGGTACTACCGGATGTCCATTCCCCTCCCTTCAAAGTTGAACCTAATTATTCCTGGGACTCCCTGAGGTTTCTAGGTGCTTCAGCCAGCCACAGCTTGTGCTAAGTTCCAGTCACACAGCCTATCTTGGATGCAACCCTGAACATACCCCAGTACCATACCATTGTTGCCACCCTGTTCTTATCTTATTTTCCTTCCCTTCCCCTATGTTCATCTGTTGTGTTTCTTAAACTCCACATATGAGATAAATCCTATGACTTTTGTCTTTCTCTGCCTGATTTATTTTGATTAGCATAATCCATTCTAGTTCCATCCACATTGCTGCAAATGGCAAGACTGCGTTCTTTTTGATTGCCGAGTAGTATTCCATGAGAAACCAAGAAACAAACTCTTATTTATAGAGAACAAACTGATGGTTACCAGAGGGGAGGTGGGTTGGTGATGAGTCAAATAGATGATGAGGACTAAGGAGGGCCCTTCTGATGAGCATCGGGTGATGTATGGAAGTGTTGAATCACTATACTGTACACCTGAAACAAACATAACACTGTATGTTAATTAACTAGAATTGAAACAAAAACTGAAAATAAAAAAAAATTAAAACCCCATCAGTCTAATTTGGCTTTCTCACCAAGGATGTTATAACCCTTTGGGACAAGACAGTTCTTTGTTGCATGGCCCCACTCCATGCATCACGCACCTGAAACAATATTCAATCCCAGCAGCTGGATGCCAGTGTACACTTCCCCCTAGTAAAGGAGAAAACTATGAAAAACCTCACACATTTCAAAAATCAAAGGTGACAGGACCAACCCAAGATGAGGACCAGTGGAACCCCAAAACTCTATAATTCACCTATAAAATAGAACAATGGCCCTCAACACATTCTATTTTTCCTGTCAAAATGCCTACCCTACCCTGTCACTGGAGAAGCCTCCCATGGGTGCTGAACAAGAATCTTTTCTCTGGCTCCCTCTCCCAACCCCAGTAGACCCTTCCCTCAATTGCCCACAGCAGAGGCAAGACTCGGCTGAAACATTCAATGAAATTTATTGAAGAGAAACATTTACTGAAACCATTGAAGAGAGGGAATGACAACACAGAGAGGAACGTCTGACGGCCACTACAGCGCATAGGTCACGGACCCCCTCCTCTTGGGGTCCCAAATGAGGTGCCTCTGTTTCCCCCAACACCGTGGCCCTCCTGCCATAGTCTCCCTTCCTGAGGGCCCCACGATCAGCCCTTGGCCAGGATGATGGATGCGGATGCTGGCCATGGCCCCTCACTCCAGGGCACTCTCCACTCTGGCCGACATGCTGGGGCCTGGTCCTGCCCTATGGCCTGCACAGGACAGTCACAGGATGCTGGAAAACGCAGCACGGGGCACTGGGACAAGCCGAAGAAACTGAGTCACAAGTAACAAGAGAGTGGCACATCAGAGCACGGTTTCCGTGGAGACTCCCACAGGCCACCTCTGTCCTTGGTCCAGTTCCTCCTTCCTGAGGTCACGGGGTGAGCACCAGCCATGCTCTCTTCTGTCCTTCCCGCCATCTCCTGGGATTGGGCTCGAGAGGTCTCTGGGGTGGGGTGGGGGCGGCTGCTCAGATAAGAACACACATACATCTCCACAAGAACAAGCAGCAGTTGGCCTAAATCTACACCGAGGAAGCAGAGGCTGAGCTCACGACACCAGACG